TCACTGTATTAACAGGTGGACAGAATCCTTCGCTGCCCCCGCTTTAAATTTGTCTCCTCTGGAGATTTACCACTTCTCAGCCAAAAATAGTCAAGTAGCAACAATAATTGTATTTATTATTTAACTCGTTTCATCAGCATTTATCAGCTGTTTTTTTTGGGGGGGGGTATGTTAGATTACAACTGTATAAAATAAGAAAAAGAAACAATTACTGTAAATCATTGCACCGCAGGTTCACCACCAGTTTTCCAATAACTGATGGTCTGCTACCTCTTTTAATCTGGAAAAAATTGCAAGCAAGCATTTGAATTACATGCAATTGTCAAACTAACTCACCATGTGGCCACATGTATGATTGGTGCAGCACCATTGATTTGTAATAGCTTAATATAAGTTCCTAACAGTCAAGGATGCTGTAGATATCCAAGAGATGAATAATTAGTGGATCAGAGGTGTATACCATATTTACATTCGCATAAGGTGCATTTATCTTTAAATGTACCAAAAAACTTCTCTGCACCTAATACAGCCACAGCTAGAAGACAACAGAGTGCTGTACTGGTAAGGCTAGGGCAATGAATGAGCTTGAGTCGACCAGGCATAAAATTTTTTATTAGTACTTTTTTTTTTTTGCTGCTTCCTATTTATAGTAGCCTCTACTATTTCCTGATAATGACTGGGACAGATGAAAGTTCTCCAGACAAAAACAGAAGAAAATCATGAACTTTGGAAAACTGATCCACAATTTTGCTCTAAATGTGCAATAACTCATTCAAAAATTGCAAGATGCAAAAGTATTAAAGAGAGACAGACTGACGGACAGGCCTTACATGTGGAACACAAGTTTTATACATACATGGATGTTTTGATATACTTTTTGTTTATACGTTATTTTTATAAATACAAATATTTAAGTAAATACTCTGTTTATAGTAAACAGTATTAACATTTCTCGGACATTCAGGCTGGTAAATTATACGTGCACACACTATTTGTTTTCACATAGGATGCATTTTTTTTTTTTTTTTTTAAGTGCCAAAAAAACTGCCCTGCTCCTAATATAGCAGTATTACAAATGGGAGGTGACTGAGTGCTGTACCAGTAGGCAGGGGTATCAGATGAGCCTGAGTCGACTAGAGATAAAAATTGTTACTATTAATAAAATATTGAAAATAAGTCACATTATTACAGTAAATTGTGTTAATAATAATATATTGAAAACAAGCCAAATCATCAGTCTATTGCCACAAACTTATGTCAAACTAGTTGAAAAGCTGCATTTAAGCTAGCTCCTGTGGAGGGTTTTTGATTGAACCTTCAGCTTGTTCAGGAGTTTGTGAGTTCCTAAGTCTTTGCATATTCTCAGCATTGGAAGGTCTCCTGGTGGCCTTTTGATCTCGGTTTTTTATTTGCACAGGAATTTCTTTTCTTCATTGCAGCTTTGGCTCTTTCAATTGCAATCTGGTCCTCTGTTAGTAGAGATTTCTTTTTGCGAGGCATACTGCTGTCATATGCAGTAAGCTACAGAAGAACTCAAAATTGATCACTGCATTTAGGTATTGCATTAATATTTAAGCTCACCTTTTAAAAGTTCAACAATAATTCTCCTGCTGCTACTTAATTTAAAAACAATTTGATGTGTGTAGGTCCTTACTTTTCATACAATCTCAGAAATATAAACAGACTAGCTTAAAAGCCACCCTATTAAGTGGCATTTAAGTTAGTGCCTGCAGATGTCTCTTGATTGAGTCTTCATCACAATAGGTAGGGAGGATTAGATGCGATAGGCAACAATAGACTACTGAAGAACTCAAAATTAATCGCTGCATTTAAGTATTGTAATTAATATCTAAGCTTAACTTTTAAAAGTTCAATGATAATTCTTCTGCCACCACTTAATTTAAAGATAATTTGATGTACATAGGTCCTTACTTTCCGTACAAACAATTATTTTTATTTCATGGGTGACTTTCACTGGATTTTGCAATTAATTTCGATTATTTCCAAATTTATTTCCGAGTTATAAAAATTGTTATCATACAGAAAAATTTGTCGCAAAAATCATGTAAAAAGTCACCGGAAACAATCACAGTAATGAAAACTTGGGAATCTAAAATTTCTGTAACATAAGCTATTGAACGTTAGAGGTTTTTTTTTTCCCCTTTAATTAAAATGTCACACACTGATATTCACATTTGTTATATAGACTGCTTACAGTACATTGGCAATTAAAAGGAATGAGCCCATCATCTCACTCTACTCTCTAACCTAGCATGCATAACCCACACTAGATATACAGTATATCATTGACCGTTTTACCTTTAAGAAGTTTATAGCGATATAATGTTGAAACATCAGTTCCTGTTCCAAAATTAAGCAACATCAAGCCAGGCCAGTACCTAGATGGGTGATTCCTTAGAAATACCTGGTGCTTTAAGCTTGGAAGTGTGGGTGGCGTAACGGCTCAGAATTCTTAATAGAATAGCAGAGTTCCAATTCCAGTTGGGTTTATTATATTCACTTACACATAAATACCTTTGGTAAAGGTATGAATCCACCTTCTCCCCACAACTATGGGTTAATTAGTAAAACTTGTATCATTAACTCATTATCTCAAAAAAAAAAAAAAAAAAGAATTCTTACAATCTAAAAGTATTTTCTGGTTTTAAATAACCTGCAAAAAGATTAATCAATCAAAATATTTAAAAAACATTTGTTTACTGCTATATCTAGAACAAAAAAAAAAATAGTCCTAGAAACGTAAAAGCAGTGTTAACAAACATCAACAGTAAGATTAAAGTTACAATATATAGTTTTGTATTCTGTTTATTCCACTATACTGCTATAATGTTGTATTTGCAGGCAGAAAATCATATTTTTCCCTACAAGATAGCTGTGAAATGTATTTTAATATGTAATGAAATATACTAAAAAGTTTTCCATAAAATATCCTTGTAAAATGTGAGGAAAATGAATACGGTAATTGCTATTATCTGACTTTGGGTTGTCTAATAAAACAGATAATCTGGCAGGGTTCTCAAATTAAGGGTGTCATAAAATTGGAGGTGTACCTGTACTACAAATGATATGATTAGAATCATTTTAATTTCATTTATCCATATTTTTTTTTTTTTTTTTTTATTACTAATCATCTAAATAAAAAAAATATGGAATAAATTGTCAATTACTGCCTAACTGACCACACTTCTTAAATAGACTGGTTCATTTGTTTAAAAAAAAAAAAATAAAAAAGAGAATTTTTTGTGGGGGTGGGTCAGAGTTGAAAAATATAATTTTTTTTTTTTTTTTTAGAAGACTTCTCTGTTGCTTCAGGCTGTAGAATATGCTGAATGCACCTCTGCAGAGGGGTAAGACCCCCTACACACACACACACAATAGACTCCTGTAAGACACAAATATTACTAGAAAAACCTGAAAAAACTATTTGAAAATACTGAAACTCAGTAAAAAAAATCAGGAATTGATTTTACACTGACCATGATCCTCTTTGCCCCCGGGTTTTGTAAAATGATTAAAAAAAAAAATCAATATTTTCAAATTCCAATAAATGACGTGGCTTGAGGAAGCTCTAACGAATACTAATCTACAAAAATTATTAGTTGAAATAATTTATGTAAATAGGCCTCAAATGACTAATTTTTATTGCTTTTCTTATTTATCATGAAAGTGATAAAAGTGAGGTCTCTAGTCACCTAAGGTAATAAAAAATTTTTTTTTTTTTTTTTTTTTTCATTTCAATGTATTTTGGTCTAAAACAAGTTTTATTTGCCGCAGATAAAAAAAAAAGTTTTTCTCTTTCTTGTTAGACAGGTCAGCTGTCACTACCCTAACATTGTTGGAATCTTTGGAATGCTGATTAATAATATTGCAAGATCTTTCATTGTTAAGGCTGACTTTTTCTATCTGTAAAACAATCTGTAAATCAGTAACCGTTTAATAACAGTTTGTAATACGAGGGTAGGCTGAAAAATTCATAGGCTGATTATGAAGGACACATGCTAGAGCTGTGAAATCTTGCATGCATTAATTTCAACTTTTCTTATTAATAAATGCATTGTTTCTTTCCAACTAAACTGACATTTGACTGTTCAAAGAAGACTTCAAAAGCAGCTAGAAGAAAAAGTGACAAAAGGGGTCTTGTTTCATCAGAACAATGCTTGAACACACAAATCATTGGCTGCTGTGTGTGACCATGGCTTTGAACTGGTTGATCATCCTCCCTATTCTCCTGTACCTCAACATGAAAAGACACTTGACTGGGGACCAGTATCACAGTAATAATAATGTATCTGCTGTTGATGACTTTTTTGACCAACAGGATGGTTTGGTTTGGTTTAACAAATTTGGGTTTGGCATATCAAGCACAATGGGTTATTTAATGCCGACAAGATTTTTAGGTTATGTTCATATGAATAGACTGTATTTTTTTGTAAGAAATCAGTTTGTAGATCAGGCTTCATTGACATATTTTTTTCTAAAGAGTTTTTGTCAAGAGTCAAATATGTTATTGATAATATATATTTTTTTTTCCAAAAATATATCGCTAGTATTTTTACTATAAAAATCTATTTTTATGCTTTCATAGTGTTTTTGACCCCAGTTTAGGGGTCAACTATTTGCTCATAGCTGGGACTAACAGGTGCTACCACCCCGGGTCAGGGTGGATCTGGGAATAACGAGGTGGTTCCATACTCCTGAAAACCTCCTAATCAGAAGCCTTTGCTCTTGGATCTAGTTTATCGTCTTACCCAGGATACCAACAGGATGAATACACAAATGTTTATCTGGAAATAATGCCATTATTAATAAGAAGAGTTGAAATTAATGCATACAAGATTTCATAGCTCTAGCATCACTCCTTCATAGTCAACCTATGAACTATTGAGCCCAACTTCCTATGAGATGAAAAATCTGACTAAACTCTTAAACTTAAATGTGTTGTTTTTTGTTTTTTTTATTCCTCTAAGGTTTTCTTTCAGACCTGATCCAGATCACTTGCCATTACCCAATTCCACTGACTATGATGACATGTTCATGTGAGAAAAATATGCAAGTGAAGATGGAAAAGTTTCTGCAATGAGATTCACAGTACAGATGTACAGATTTTTTTTTTTTTTTTTTTTTGGTCGATGGTTGTATATCTATTTTTTATTTAATTTCTTAAGACATTAAAAAAGATTTTTTTTTTTACTAAAATATTTCCAAAGATCATTTTATCTTCTTTCTTTCAATCTTTGCCTGCTTTAATTTTTCTTGTTTTTTTTTTTGTTTACGAGTGATTGAAATATTTTTAAGACAAAATTTCATGATCAAAACAAACAGAAAAAATTTATAACTGGACTTTTGTTCATTGAAGTCCTTTAAGAACTTCTAATAATTTTGATTTGTTGATTTAATTTTTAAAACACATTTCACCAGCAATGCAAACTTCTAGACTTAGTTGAGTTCAAGATGATTTCTTCTTGATTTCGAAGTTGTCAGAATTTTATTTGTTTATTTTTATTTTAATCAATTTACCCCAAGCAAGGCGATAATGCCACTATGTTGCACGGAGCTACCAGGAGTGAAAGAGATTGAGAAGAATTTAGAATACGTACCTCCATGAAAGCACTACAAAATCAGCATACCATAATGAAAACATGCTCCAAATATAATGAAAACAGTTTTATCATCAAATTATTATTAAGAGGAAGGATCAAAGTATTTTTTTGATATTTAATTAAATTTTTTACTCCTTTTTAGAACATTCAAAATTGTTTTTCTTGCGTCAGTAGTTGTACTAACTTTTTGTATAGCAAATTTTAGCCTCTTTTTTTGCAGTGGCAGACATTAATTTGTAAATTCTTGCAAAAAACAAATAATAGTCAGATTTTAATGAAAATTTCAGGATTTATTCACAAATGAACTAAATTACTTTTGAAATTATTTTTATTAGAAAATCTTGGTAAAAATTTTTCTTTTTACTTGTGTTTCAGCCCCTTACTTAATTTTATGAAAACTTGAGAAATTCAACACTGATAATTTTTAGTAACTTTATTAGTTAAAAGCAGAATTCTTTGAAGAATTTAAATCACCAAATTTTTTTTGCAAAATCGGATCCCATCTTACAAAAAATCTGTTCTGAATTGAAAAATAAAACACTCAATAAGACTAAGACATTATTTAATTAAAGAAGCTTCTAATTGCTTTCATGAGTAATATATATTAAAGACAATATTGTCTGAAGAAAAAAAAAAATTTTGATGAGAAATGAATTTTTACAAGATTCTTTTTTTTTTTAAATTTTATATTAAATAATTTATAAAGTTGTTGAATCTTTTAAAATTCATTTTCAATGTGATAATTCTTAGGAAATGTTGTTAAGTAAAACTACATTTACTAATCATTTATTATAAAGCTTATTACAATCTGATGCCCTCAAATATTTTTAAAAGTATTTAAATTTGTTTTTGTATGTGTGATTATGTGCAGAATTTCTGAAGTATGGATGTACAAATCAGTAAATCCGTCATTACAAGGTCATGTGTTTTAAGGGCTGCCCCACCCCTGCACCCTTATAAACTATATCTGCTCCACCTTACTTAACTATGGATTTGTTCAGCTGTCATTAAATCAATTAACGTGTCATAAAAACAAGACCCCATGGTTAAGAAATGCTTGTATACAACATTTTAGGCTATAAGTAAGTAATATTTGTTTCAAATCAGATTAATTTAACTTTAAATTTTCTAATTTTCCTCAGATAATGTTTTAGAAATATATATTTTATTTTTGAAAGATTTTTAAAACTGAGAATTATCTTCTGTTTACAAATGTGTCAAAAATGGCTATTTTTATCAACCATATAGCATATGAATGTGTCCAACACAGGTGCATATATAATCATCATGTTATAAAATTCAGTTACTACAGTACACAATATACAAAATAAGTAAAATTCTACTTACATGTGTTGATTTTGGATATTCTGCTCTCCCTATTTGTTTATCATTGATATTCATAGGATTAGCCAAGAAAAGGGTAGTAACTCCTAAGAAAAAAATGACACAAGAGCCCATTGATGTGTGAAATAATAATTTCACCCCTAAATCCATGTGTCACTTTTTACCCTGTGTTACTTTGTGCCCTGCTTTAACCTACAACAATATTTTCTATTCTTTGCTAACTTTCTTACTGACATGACACAATGTTGGCAGCCTATCACTATCAAATGTTCAGTTTAGTTTTGTTTTTGAGTATCAATAAATCAGCCCTTTACACCTAGGAGTTGCCATTCTATGTCCATGGAGTCTAATTGCCCATATTTCCTCCATATTCCTTTCATAAGAAGGAAGTTCTACTCAAACTACTTTTTCCCAAAAGCAAACTCTCACTGGCTGTTTCTCTAAACACTACAATATTAGCCTCTTTGAAATATTAGTCACATCAGATTAATAACCCACTTCAGGTTAAGGGTCAATTCCTATTTCTCTTCATAAAACTCTTCACTTGCTTTTAGTTCCACCACCCTCCTCTTACATTCAGTAGCATTCTACCACAAATAGCTCTTAGACCTTCTGCCAGGTGAACCTTAAAATCAAAAAAAAAAACTGTTCATTTTAATCCCTCAGGTTTTAATAAATGTTGTTTCCATAAATTTTACCTGAATTTCTTACATAAGACATTATTATTATACATACGTACATGAATTAACATGAGCTAGTTTCTTCATCTTTGCTTTACAACGTTTCAGACAATGTAATCTACCTTCCTCAATTGTCTGTTGCAATCAATAAATCTTGGTAAGTATCCTCAGTCATTCTTGTACTTGATATGTTTCAACTTTTCATTACCATAAATATGTAGAAATTCATCAATGCTTTTTAACACATTGACTGCCAACCACAAGAAAACTCATTGTTGGAAGTTTTTATTATGATGCCGACTACAGTTTTTCTCATACCTGGCATTTTTTTCATCTGTGAGTGTGAGCAAGTTTATACGCAAAGATACTTTTAGAATGAAACAAATTGAAGTTGTAAATAAGTTCATAAAAATTTCATAGCCTAAATTGCCTGTAAAGTTGTCGTTTGAAGTCAAATTTTGTAATTCACTGCTGGCAGTCAACATGTTTGTTTATAGTGCTGTATAATGCAAATGAAATTGAGTTTAATAAAGACATTTTTAATTGAATACACACACCGTATTATAATTGGTAGGAAAAGAAGATATAATTAACAATAGTGAATGATTTTATTACCATTATTTAAATGAATATTTTTTAGCATTAAATGAATTTTCTTCAGCTGAGTCGATATGGTAACAACTTAATTTGAGTTTACACATATGTCAGGTCAATTTTAGTAAGAGTTAGGGCAGCACAAGAGAATTTATTAGTTATGGTTTGCTGGAAATAGGTCAAGGTTGGCAGATGTTATCTAAAGTGAAAAGGGATTGCTGTAAAGCAGTGCTTCTCAAACTATCTGATGCAGCAGTTTTTTTCTTTTTTTCAATGTGTGAGGAACATGTCCAATTTTGAGACTATCTGTACTAAACATACGAACATGATGTCATTCATTCTAAGGCTAGTCATCATTGAGGTAAAAAGTCTTCCCTGTATGGCAGGGACTGGTACCATATTTAATTTGTGCCATATAATAACAATCAGAGAAAATATTATTTCAACATTCATAGTATTATTGATTTATACCAGAAAAATATAATTTTTTTTATTTTATATTGATTTTGTAAACAAGTAGTAATTCAATATTACAATATAAATAATGTATTAACAAATCAATTTGCAAAGCCTTCTGACACAGATATAAACATATGTATATATAAGTAATAAAATAAAAAATTATAATGTATAAAAGTAGGTTAAAAAAATTTTATATTTATGTTTTTATTTAGTTATTTTAAACCCCAAGGAATAAATATATTAAAAAAAATACCACATTTTCATGATAGTGTTATCATATAAATTTCAATTCACTGTTTTATAGCTCATTATATAGCATTCATTCATTAGTTATATAACAATAACTTTTTTCTTTTTTTTTTTTTAAAAAACATGAGTGAGTAATTGAAAAATATAACTACAATAAATATAAATCTAAAATTAAAATGTTAAAAAAGAAACAACATGTCGGATATCTCAGCAGTCTTCTGTGGCATGGAATGTGACTACTGTTTCTTTGTTTCCTGGAGACGATGGATTGCATACTGGTACCAGCACGCATACCACACTTTGAGTAGCACCACTGTAGAGCACTGACACAGGCATTAGAGTTTGTGTCTGGCAAGTTAAGATCAGTCTAAAACATTTCATAATGAATTATTCACAGAACCAACTGAGCTGAAGTTCAAAGTCATTTTATTCAGATAGAATATGGTACATAAATTAATCCTTTTTAACTGTTATTCAATACAAGTTATTTCTCTAAACTACATTAAGACAAAGCTACATGGACATTCTGCCTGAAAATCACCACTGATATTACCATGTTTCTTTCAACCTAAGATTAGTATTAATATTAACATTAATTAGTAGTATTAAAGTTTTTCTTACCATAATCTATGTTACACCTTTAAAAGTCTACCACTCATATATGCATTAAATATTACTATCACATCTGGTTTGGTTTATGTATTTTGAGATTCTTGACAAAAATCCAAAAAGAGAATCTTTAATGTTATAGGTCCTGACCTGGCATCTCAGCTTCAGTCACTTTCTCAACATGGCTTCCCAGTGCCTTTTTTATAAATGTTTTCATGGTAATTGTTCTGATGAGTTTTCCTCTTTGGTACCTCAATTTTATGAATTTAAGTGCAATAATAGATTGGCAATTAGCTCTCATTTTACAGTTGAAATGGCTAGATGTAACTAAGTTCTATCTTAACAGTTTCTGCTCTCGCACTTCTTGCTTGTGGAACTCTCTCATGGCTTCTTACTTTCTAATCAACTTTACATTTAAAAATTTTTGAAGATCAATGTCAATCATCATCTATCTTATTGAATCCTGTTCTCTTATTGTCCTCTCTCCTTAAATATGTTTTTT